CCTGACGGCATTGTCTTTAGAAATAAGGGAAATGTAATATCTCAAACAAAAATAAATCTGGAAGCATCTCACTTCCAAGATTGGTTAATGTCCCCCCTCATTTTTCATCTTTGGAACCTGGATTCTTTCATCTTTCTACGCTGCCATCTCTGGGTGCTGGCTTAGCTCCTATAAGGACCATACCAGGCTGTCCGTGTTCTAGATGCTCGACACAGCCATGACACTATCCGATAAGCAGAAGAAACAGAGCAGTTTCCTATTATGTATGTTTTTATCAAAAAGGAAATTAGTCCACTGGTGATCATTTTGTAACGTGTAGAAATATCAAATCACTATGCTGTGCACCAGGCACTAACATAGTGTTGCAGGTCAATTATACTTCCAAAAACACCCCAAACAAATAAACAAACAAACTCATAGAAGAAGAGATCACATTTGTGGTTACCAGAGGCACCGGGTGGTGGGAGGGGGAACTGGAGGAATGTGGTCAGAAGGTACAAACTCCTGTTATAAGACGAATAAGTGCTAGGGATGTAAGGTACAACACGATGAATATAATTAGCACGTCTGTGTGTTACGTATGAAAGTTGTAAACAGAGTAATCCTAAGAGTCCTCGTCACAAGGAAAACATGTATTTTTTTCTTTTGTTTTGTATCTATATGAGTTGATGGATATTCACTAAACATCGTGGTCATCCCCTCATGACAGACGGAAGTCAGACCATTATGCGGTACACCTTAAACGTATACAGTGCTGTACGTCAATTAAATCTCAATAAAAGTGGAAGAGGGAAAAAAGAAAATTAGTCCAGATTCTAGTAGAGGTTTTAATACCTCTGCATATTTCACTCTGCTCAGAGAAACACGGACTGGCTCATGTACAGAGAAGATGGAATTTTCTTCCCTTACACGAGAAGGAAAACATTTTTCTCTCGCACAGTTATCCTCACCAATGTCCCCTGACGTTTTGGCGGTGCCCTAAACGTGCCTGATTCTCAGCCCAGGGAGACTGGTGGGAGGGGAGTAAGGTCTGGCACTTGTTTTGTTTTTATCACTGACCAGCCATGGGACTTCTCTCTCACTTATAAAATGAAAAGATTAGATCAGCTAAGGTACAGAATTTTTTTTTCTTTTTGCGGTACGCGGGCCTCTCACTATTGTGGCCTCTCCCGTTGCGGAGCACAGGCTCCGGACGCGCAGGCCCAGCGGCCATGGCTCACGGGCCCAGCCGCTCCACGGCATGTGGGATCTTCCCGGACTGGGGCATGAACCCACGTCCCCTGCATCAGCAGGCGGACTCCCAACCGCTGCGCCACCAGGGAAGCCCAAGGTACAGAATTTTATGATTTTATATTTCTATGATCAAACCCCTCCTAGGATCTTATGAAGGCAAACCCAGATAGTGGAAGATGCAATAAAGGACGCACTGCACCAAGCCCACTGTCAGAAATGTACCAAATCTTACTTTCCTTTCTCTTCCTTTCCCGCACTAACACTCTCCCAGCTCTGGGAAGCTTCTGGGGGAAAAAAAAAAAGCAGGAGACTATATCAAAACATAAAATAAAACTTTTCAAAAAAAAAAAAAACACTTTTCTGAAAGTGTTTTTCAGCCATAATTAAGGAGAAAACTCTCCTTTAGGAAGCAACGTGAAAGTTGGTGGAAGAAGCCCCAGGTCGCCATTGCCATCCTCCTCTCCCTGCCGTTGTTTGTCTGCTGGTCATAATTGTTAATGAAGAAGCTCCAGAGCGGTCACTTGCTTACTTCGCTGCTAATGATAGAAATAAATGGCTCCAATTTGATGTGGCAGGATTGCAGAAGGTCACCAGGCACGTCTCCCATTCTTGGCACTTCCAGGCTCCCGCGAAGCTCTGTGAGCAATCTGTCTTGTCAGCAAGTCCTATCTTGTCCCATCATTCAGGGTGGCCTGCCTGCTCATCCATCCCCAACCCCCAGGTGGGCCTCCCCCCCGGCTGACAACTAAATGTTAGAAGTCACTTCTGAAGACAAGGGCTTCTGAGGTTGAGGCAGCACGACAGCATGGAGAGAATCGGGCACTGACACCCAATGGCCTTGGACTTAGGAAACAACAGCCAGGCATTCATACAAATCATCTTCAATACTCTCAACCTCCCTAAGAAGTTACGTGGTACCCATGTGTAGGTGTGGCAGCTCCGTGAAGTTCGGTGTTTGTCCAAGGTCACCCCGCTGACCCAGGATTTGATTCAGAGCTGCGTCCCAGTAAAGCCTCCATTTAATACTGGAATGGAATCTGGAGGGAAGAGAGGCTACAGAGAGATTAGAAAGTCATGAGATGAGAATCATCTGGTGCAGGGAACTATAGTCAATATCTTGTAATAACCGATAATGGAAAAGAATCTGGAAAAGCATGTGTGTGTGTGTGTGTGTGTGTGTGTGTGTGTGTGTGTGTATACAGATGACTGAGTCGCTTTGCTGTACACCTGTAACTAACACAACATTGTAAAGCAATTATACTTCGATTTTAAAAATAGAGTCAATTGGTGGACCACAGGAGCACATGGGCTAACTCAGGGAGAGGACCCACAGAGAAGAGCAGGGGCCCAACGTGTAAAGGTGGGGATTTATCAGTCATGGGGAGAAGGATCCAGAAAACACAGAAGAAGCAGAAGAGAGTTGAAAAGGGCAAGGAGAGGAGAGTTATGGTCATCCTTGTTTTGATTTTTCAAATGGGACTTTTTTTTAAATGTCTTACTGATTTGTCCCCCATCCATCAAGCAGTTTCAGCTCAGTGCTTATTTCATCAACTCACAACCTGAGATGCCCCCCAGGGCCCAGGCAGGTGAGCAGTTCCAAATGATGTGGCTGGCAAGGGGCGCTAGGGAGAGGGGAAGACTACAGAAAACCCGTATCAGTCAAAAAGGGGCAGCCGGCACTCAGGTTCAGCTGACTGTGGCCAACACTTTTGCCAGAAGGAGCTGGAATTCCTAGTTTTTCATGCTCTGCCAACAAGACAGTTCCACAGCTTGGAAACAGCCTATAGGCTGTTTGCCATCTCTGCCCTAATGGGTGTAAGCCTTTCTACCTTCAAGAAATAGAAGTACCAGCCCCAAGATTTCCCAGGTTCTGAGGAGTCCTAGAGCCCAAGGCTAAATGCTTGTTTTTCACGTACAGTTTTTAAATTAGGAGGAAAAAGGCACATGTCATTTCTGCGACATGATCTGATTAGGCAAAGCAGAATTTTGTGGTGGAAGTAATTTGTGTTAAGTCATGACCGTACCAGAGGAAAATGGCACTAACGAGGAGTGCTTGTTAGCACCAAGGTCAAAGGTAACATTCCAGCCACAGGTTGATGCCAAAGGCATCGAAGGACTTTGTGAACAAGGACTTTGATAGAGAGGATAAAACATGGGTAACCGTCAACGAGAAGGACAGGCCAGGCAGCAAGAGCCTTTCATTTTCCCTCGTAAACTTTCTCCCTTCCTGGGTACGTGTTGGGATTTAATAACAACTTACCGCTTTTTGTACTCTCCGAAATGTTTTTTTAAAGAAGAAGAGAAAAGAACAACTCATTTCGAGACAGTCACCACTTAATAAACCCTGGGAGGGCTATCAGAGGAAACTTGTATTTGGTGTCTGGTATCAGTCAGTGGGTGCAAGTAAAACAAATTTCAGGCAAATCTTCTGGATTCCTCTGTGTGTGTATGTACATGTGTTCCTGCACTTATAGCACGTTTATCAAAGCCACACTTACAACGCTCCTTTGGGGAAGGTAGCTCCACTGCACGGCATTAGCTACATCATTGCTTTGCAAAGACTAATAGCTCCATTTCCTGTACTGGAATGGATAATCTATGCCAGGTTCTTCCTGGTTCACTCCTTCTACCTATCTGCCTCCATAGTTAGGATCGCTGGGCCATCTGAGCCCCACCTGTAGTCTCAGTCTTCTAATTCCATACTCTAGGGTTTGACATCAAGTCACCCTTGTTGTTAATCTAACCCTCAACCCTTATCTTTGCCTTGAAATCTTGAGTCCTGCCCCGTAACCTTCCCAGCACTCTGTCTCTCTGGATCTGGAACCCTGTCTCACTTTTGGAAGCAGCCCCCTCACCCTACCCACCAATCACCAAACTGGAATCCATTCTATGAACAAGACTGATGACAGACTTCTCTGACCTCCCTTGGCATCCTGAAGCAGTCGCCTACTGCCTGGTGGGATGCCTGCTTGTCTTGTCGCACAGCCTCTACATAGCTCCAAGTCCTTATTACATGAAATGCATCATTGTTGCTGCCTGTCTGCAGGACCGTTTTGCATCCCAGCCTTACACTAGCCCTTGCAGCTGAGTCTGTCTTCCTGGTTCCCACCAACCTTAATGATTAGTTCATGTTCTGTGTCTGCCCCTTCCTGGCTGTTATGGCCCAATGCAGTTAACCAGACCATAAGTGGTTCTGATTCAAGATAGTACCGTGGGGAACTGATACCATGAAGAACATTTCATAGGCTAAGTTAGATCTGCTTGCCTCCTTCAATGTATCAGTTGCATGTTTAACATTGGAATGTTTGATATAGAGTAAAAAACTTCCTGTTAAACAAAGGAAAGAATAATTATTATAATGATACTTTAGAGAAGCTTATATTGATTTTTGACTAATACATTTTGCAAGACTTACAAAGGAAAGAAGAGGTGCAATAGAAGCTGACAATGATAATGATGGCATCTCTCCCGAAGATACTCTTGATTTTTTCAAAACCATTTTCATTTAATTCATTCTACAAATTCCAAATGCCTACTAAAATCCAGATGCTCTATCAGGCACCAGACTAGACATGGAGTAAACAAAGAACAATGGGACATTAAGACACAGTCTTTCTCATTAAGAAGTTTACAGTCAGCCAGCATTCATTACGGTGATTTTCTAACATTTTTTCAGCAAGAAAATCAAATAATAATCTTACTTGGCATCTGTATCAGTCAGGATAGTCCTGGTTATGCTGCGGTAACAAATGAGCCTGGCATTCCAGTGACTTATAACAACAAAGGTTTATTTCTCATTCATGCTCATGCCCATCATGGATCAGCTAAGGCTCTGCTTCACATCCTCTTCATTTCAGGACCCAGGGTAATGTATCAGCCTCTATCTGGAACTCTGCTTGTCTTATAGCAAAGGAAAAAGAGATGAGAATATAAAACCCATACCCTGGCTCTTAAAGCTTCTACCCAGAAATAACATGTCTTTGCTACTCTTATTTCATGGGTCAAAAGAAATCTCATGACCAAGTCCAGCATCCTCAAAGCCCAGAAATATAATCTTCTCCAGGAAAGAGCAGCAACTATTTTTGAAGAATAATGGCACACCTCAGTATAGAAAGTAAATAAACGGATGGAAGTAGCATCCCTCTTCCTGAGGAATCTTTATAGAATCTTCAGCCTCTATGAAATTCAGTTGAAAAACCATCTAACCATCATCTCATCTGAAATTCATAAAAGCCTAGGAAGTAAGCCGAGAAATTGTAATTGTCCCGTCTGAAAGGTAAGGAACCTCTCTGAGGCCCAGGAACTTTACATAACCTCCCAGAAGACAGACCAGGATAGAGTACCGGTGCCTCCTCCTTTACTAACCTCCCTGTGAGACCTTGCTGGAGCCCCAGGCCCCGTATACATGAAGCCCTTTGTCATAATATCCACGGAATTCCTAAAAGCCAAGAAAGCTGTCTCTTTCTTAACCACTCACTTTGGCCGCAGCTGCATTTTGTCCCAGGTGGCCTGCTGCCCACAAGGCCATGCCGTGCAAAATCACCGCAGAAATCCTGGCTCGGTTTGACCTTTGGAGGGTGCTTACAACACATTCTGAAAAGCAGCAGACACATCGTGCCAGCTCCACCGGCAAGCGCTTCAGAAAACGGGGCCTAAGAAAGACCTAAAGGGAGAACAACTCAGCCTAAAGAGATGGTACCAGGCAAGGCAGTAAGAGCTAAGTAGAGAGGTGACAAGACACAGTCCCTGCCTCTAGAGATTTCAGAGGAACCGGGAAGATGAACTTGGAGAGGATGCTGAATGCGTCACTGTTTAGGAGTGATTCCATAGGATGTAGCCTCTAGGAGTGAGGAGAACAAGAGAGGAGGGAGGCCCCCTTGGATTCTGAAGCCAGAAGGCCAGCATTTATAAGGTGAGTGAGGCCCTTGTTGACCAGTACCACCAATATGTATGAACTGTTACCCACCTGGAAGAAAGAGCTTGGACTTGGAAACTAAGGCTCAGGCTTGACTTCCAGTCCTGTCACTCATTTTTCCATACAACCTCAGGCAAACCTCTAAGCCCATCAGAGCCTTGGTTCCTTGCCTCTAAATAGGAGATAAGTACAACCTGCCCTAGCTGCTTCACAGGGTGGTAGTTTAGGCCAAACACATTGTGAATAAGAAACTGCTCGGTTACATGTAAACTTGGCCTCTCTTCACTGTCATAACTGAGCGCTGCCTCAGCACACGCTAGGATGATCAAGTCATCCGGTTTGACTGGGGCTTTCTCAGTTGTAGCAGTGACAGTCCCACATCCCAGGAACCTCCACAGTCCCAGACAAAACGGGACAATTGGTTTGTCCATCACATATTCTGACCAGGAGGGTGGGGAGGTCCCTGCTAGCCATAACACTGTTTCTAAAATTTCTAACTGGTGTACAATTCAGTGGGTTTCAGTACATTCACAAGGTTGTGTGATTATCAACTATCAACTATTATCAACTATCCAGCTCAGAACAATTCCGTCACCCTAAAGAGAACTCATTAGGAGTCAGTCCCTATTCTCCCCTCCCCTCAGCTCCTGTCACCCACAAATCCACTTTCTATCTCTACGGATTTGCCAATTCTGGACGTTTCATATAAATGGCATCAAAAAATATGTGGTCATTTGGGTCTGGTTTCCTGCACTTAGCAGAATGGTTTCAGGTTCATCCTGGTGTAGCATGCATCAGTACTTCATTCATTTTTGTGGGTGAATAATATTCCACCGTGTGGATATACCACATTTGGTTTATCAATTCATCTATTGATGGACCTTTAGGTTTCTTCTACTTTTTAACTACTATGAACAGTGCTGCTATAAACATTTAACATATAAATTTTCATGTGACCATATGTTTCCATTTCTCTTAGGTGCTCATTAGGAGTAAAACTGCTAGAAAAAAAAAAAACCCAAAAAAATAAGAACAACTGCTGAGTCATACGGTATCTCTATGTTTAACTTTTTGAGGAACCACCAAACTTTTCCAAAGAAGCTACATGTTACATCCCACTAATAGTGTATGACGGTTCCAATTTCTCCATATCTCCATTTGTTATCATATGTCTTTTTTATTACAGTCATCCTAGGGAGTGGAAAATGGTAACTCACTGTGGTTTTGATATGCATTTCCCTGATGGTGTGCATTTTTCATGTCCTTATTTGGTCATAACACTTGAATTCCAAAAAAAAAGGGATCATCTCGCCATCCTGAATCTCCTTTTTGAGAACATAGGAGCTCTGGCAAGTTACCAACTCCTGGACACAAGAGAAGAGCCTCTGTCTGGTCCTGCCCAGGACAAAGGTCCAGATGCCTGTCCACAGCTACAGAATAAAGTCCAAATTCTTTCATGGCATCCAAAGCCCTTCACTATCGATCTCTGATTTACTTTTACATCCTCAACCCCTTTTTTCCCTACGTGAACACTCCACTCCAACAGAGCAATTGTTGTCCAAATAGACAATCTATTTACTGTCCCCGGGAACACATCACTCATGTTTCCTCCTTTGAATCAGTAGCCAGTGGGAATCTCAGTTCACAAACTCACAAGTGTGAGAAATGTTACAACTTTCTCCTTTTCTATCAACCAACGAGTTCTAGCCTTAACTACCTTCCTGCAAGACTGGTGAGAGGGACTTCCCTGGTGGTGCAGTGGTTAAGAATATGCCTGCCAATGCAGGGGACACAGGTTCGAGCCCTGGTCTGGGAAGATCCCACATGCTGCAGAGCAACTAAGCCTGTGCGCCACAACTACTGAGCCTGCGCTCTAGAGCCCACGAGCCACAACTACTGAGTCCACGTGCCGCAACTACTGAAGCCCACGTGCTCTACAGCCCATGCTCCGCAACAAGAGAAGTCACTGCAATGAGAAGCCCGCGCACCACAGTGAAGAGTAGCCCCCACTTGCCGCAACTAGAGAAACCCCGTGCGCAGCAATGAAGAACTAACGCAGCCAAACAATAATTTTTTTTTAATTAAAAGAAAAAAGACTGGTGAGAAATTCTGCCTCTGTCATTCTGAGGGCTCTACCCAATGCTAGAAAGATGTCAAGGTTTCAGGGACTTACACACTCTCAAAACGTGGAAGGGGAGGGTGGGAGATGGGATATGATGATGAAGATTACCATGGAGATGGAGACTGTCCTGGTTCCCATGGCCCCTCCAGTTCTGGTGGTTCTTCTAGGCCCGCCAGAAGCACTGCAGCCTTCACCCATGCTGCAAGCCCTATGCCTAGAACCTGCCCTTCCTCTAAGAACACCCCCCCAACACATACACACACAGGGTTCTGCTGTAGAATGACTCTCATGGAACCTACAGACTCTCTCCTTCTCCTTGGAGAACTTCTGTCCACTCATATTCCTCCCCCATTTTTGAGAAACCCCATGGGGGTGTCTCACATATGGGTCTGCACTGTCCTTGGAGCCACTCCTGGCATCTCCATTTCCTCCTCACCCGCCGCTGGCCTCCTAGGGCTCCATGCTTCCCAGCTGCCTCTCTGGGATGAACTGGCCTGACACACTACATAAGCAACTTCTGGGTGCCTTCTGCTCACACTGCCTGCTGGTGCTGGAGGTCCCTGGCAACTTCTTCATGTCCCAGTCACCTCTAGTCAGTGACCTCCACCCAAGACACAAGTCCACAGCTCATGGCACCTGTGCTTACCACAGCTTGCAGAGACTCCAGTGCTACGACTTTCTGTTCCCTTTTATTTGACTTCCGCTTTCTAGGATTCAGCAGGAATCTAAGAGAGGGAAGTCAGAGAACAATCTGAGAGGCATGTACCATGCTCTACTCTAAATTCTTCCTCCCGGATATCATATCATCCCGCGGTTCCTCTCCTAGGTATATACCAAGAGAAATAAAAACATACGTCCACACAAAAATCTGTACCTTAAGGTTTATAGCAGCTTATTCATAAAGCCAAAAAAGTAGAAAGAACCCAAGTGATGAGCCAACCAACGGATGAATGGACAAACTGTGGTATATTCAAACAATGGATTATTATTCCGCTGTGAAAAGCAGTGAAATGGGGATATACACTACAACGTGGATGAATCTTGAAAACATTATGATAAAGGAAAGCTACTAGACACAAAAGGTCACATAGTGCCTGACTGCATTTATATGAAATGTCCAGAAAAGGTAAATTCATAGAGACTGAAAGTAGATTGTGTTTGCTAGTGCTGTGGGCACAGGACAGATTGTAGGGTGGTGGCTAAAGGGTGCACGCTTTCTTTTGGGGGTGACGAAAACTTCCTAAATTTCATTGTGGTGATGGTTATGCAACCCTGTGAATAAAACAAAACCCACTGAATCGTAACTTTAAAGTATTCTTTTAAAAATGTATTTATTTTTGGCTGCGCTGGGTCTTTGCTGCTGCGCGTGGGCTTTCTCTAGTTGCAGCAAGCGGTGGCTTCTCTTGTTGCGGAGCACGGGCTCTAGGCGTGTGGGCTTCAGTAGTTGTGGCACGTGGGCTCGGTAGTCGTAGCTCGCGGGCTCTGGTACGCAGTCTCAGTACTTGTGGCACGCAGGCTTAGTTGCTCCGTGGCATGTGGGATCTTCCCAGACCAGGGCTCAGACCCATGTCCCCTGCATCGGCAGGCAGATTCTTAACCACTGTGCCACCAGGGAAGCCCCACATTGAATTGTAACTTTAAATGAGTGAACTGTAAATTATGTCTCAATGAAACTGTTATCAAAAAAAATAAAAATCTACCTTTCCTTCCTCCTTAACCCATTATCCTTAGTCCTCTCTCTCCCTTCGGAAAGGTTCTTTCCCATAAGGCCCTTCCATCTTTTGTGTAAATGAAATCCCACTGGACTTTCCAAACATACCCACACATTTCTAAATTTGCAACAGGTATACCACTTAGGCTGACCTCTATGATGCCAGCCCCAAGCGTTCGTTGATAGGGATGCTCCTCGCTACCAAATAGTGTTTGAACTCTTTCCAGAGTCTGAGAAGAAATTAGCATCTGAGAGTCTTGAATTCTGCATCCTCTTTATCTCTGAAGTTGCTGATAAGTACGAGTATTTTCTGAGGACCCCCTTCCCCAAGCACCCCCAGCCTCAACCCATTTCTTCATCTGTGTCTCACTCTGGACTGAAGTGTGACCACAGATGTGTCCTGTGTACATCTTGCCACACGCCCCTGTGTGAGGACAGCAAGAGTTGGTTCTACACTGTAGCCACCTAGGTTCAATTCTTTATTACGATACTTCCTATCTTTGTGAATACTTCATATCACAACACTGGATGTGACTCAGTGGCTAATGGGGAAAGTTTAATATTATTATTACATGGGAGATACGGCTGTGCCACCCAGTAGGGAGTCCATTGTCCAATCACGGTGGAAAAGTTGGAAGATGAAGGAAGAGCGTAAAAGATGCCCCTGTGATGACCGTCGTGAAGGAAGCTGGTCTTACAAAACAAGGTGAAGGAGGTGGCAAGTGGAGTTAACACAAAGGCCAAGTACTCAGGCCAGAGCGCTTGCGAGGTGCTGTGTGGCAAGCCAATCCCATGAATGACAGGAGCATTCAGCCAGCATTCCAACAAGGAAATTTAGAAGGAAGCAAGATGGGGTGAATCAAAGCCTTTTGTGGAGTCAGTTGATGTGGTGGTCATGAAAGTCTGTACAATGAGCAGCTACTCAGGCCACGAAGAGCAACAAGGCTACTCCGCCTCCAGCCTTCTCAGCACCACTCTCCCCCTTCGGTGGCATTAAGTCAAAACTGCAGCAAACAGAGGCAGCCAAATGGGCTAGAGCTGCCTACAGACCTGGGCTGAAGCAGCTCCCCCATCTTCCCCCAGGAAGAACTATCCTCCGTTCTCTGAAACGTTCAGGGTGGGAGGGGGAGCGAGGAAGAAGCCTAGAGTGTTGAACAATGAAATCCCTAAACAGAAAGGGGAATTCATCTTTATCAGGAAGATTCCAAGCCAGGGGTTTAGAGAGCTATGAATAATCATGAAATAATGATTTCAGAGATACACGATGGGCACAGAGGAACCTGAAAACCAAGGGAGAGAACAGCAACCCATGGGAATCGGAAGCTTAAAACCACTTGTGTGGTTTGGAGCACATCTTCCGGGAGGTCAGGATCAGGCCAGGGGTCGGAACCAGACAGGGGAGCCAAAGGCAGGACATACTGGAAGGAAAATGGGCAGGGCTGTTAAGTGTTGCTCCAGGGCCGTGCATGGGTCTCCCCTGGTGGGTTTAGGGAGCCAAAAGCCGCTCTGGAGATGCTGGAACATCCGTTGCTCTCACTTCTCCACCACTGCTGCCGGAGGCTACACCAATGGCTGTGAGAAGCAAATCAGGCCCACTTCCCATGTAGGTTTGTAGTCCGACCCTTAGCGCATTAATAACACATCACAACAGCCTCCCATGACAGCAGAGGTCCCGACCCCAAAGCTCTGGGTCCCAGGTTCTCAGAGCCAGGTTAAAGAGGTGACCTCACTTGCCCTCCACTTAACTTGATGTGACCTGGCCCCTGTGGCATCTCTCCAGGTCAGAATCGAATCTCAGCAGGGC